GGTATGACTAGCCTCTCCCAGGGGGCAGGTTGCCTTCCAGGTCACCTTATTTGGGACTCAAACCACACAGTTGGCCCTGTGGGATCCAGCTACCTTAACCACCACTGATTGGCCCATTAATTATTATTATTAATGTAAAAAATAGAACTGTTGCTTCCTAGCCCAATCTTAAAGCAGGTGCCCTGGTTCTCCAATGTAGGCCTAGGAATCTATACCAGGCTTTGGGGACTCCTCTGGGTGGCAGCCCTCCTGACACTAGGCTATAAGATGGTCTGACAGCCATGGCAGTGTCCTCTCTCTGCCCCACGTACCTCCAGCACAATATTGACCCCTTCTCGGGCTTTTAATGCTTATGTGACCTGTGCCTCCTCTTCTTTTCTTTCTTTCTTTCTTTCTTTCTTTCTTTCTTTCTTTCTTTCTTTCTTTCTTTCTTTCTTTCTTTCTTTCTTTCTTTTTCTTTCTTTCTTTTTTTTTTTTTTGAGAAGTTTTCACTATAGGGCGCGTGCACTCGCCAGACAGAGAGAGACAGAGAGACAGAAGGCAAGAAATCACCCCCCAGGCGGGATGGTCACGCCGTAGTCCTTTCTCCTCCATTCTCATCTTGGGATCTTGGGCATGCACGCACACGTGCCTGGCGTGAGTTTTAAGCCACTGGGTCCGGGATGCGAACCGCGGTCCACTGTGTGGGAGTCCAGCGACATAGCCATTACGCTAACTGCTGGTCCCTGTGCCTCCTTTTCAACCATAGTCTGCTCCTGTAGAACCAAAGTCAGCTCACGTGGTTATTTCTTAGTCATGCTTCTTCCCCCTGTGATGTTTAGTGCAGTACTCTGCCCACAGAAAACGCTCAGTGAGATTGGCGGATACACTCTGTTGCAGTGTCCTCATACTCTCACATGAGATTTACGCTTAGTGTGTTTGCTTTCGTCATGAACCAATCTCAGTCTCTCTTTTGATTGTGAGGCTCCTGTCAAACTGCCATCACAAGGGGTGGCCTTAGCAGGTGGATGGCACTGACCTGGGTGTGGCCTGAGTCCTCTACCTTGTCATTAACTCACCTGGCCTCAGGCAAAACCAGAATCTTGGGACCCTAATCAGTAGCTTCTTGCTATGATTTAGATAATGACTTGTCCCCCAATGATTTGTGCTCTGGAAGTTTGGTCCCCAGTACGGTGACTTCAGTAGGTGGTGAGACCTTTAAGACCTAATGATGGGTCAGGGTTGCATGGTGGTTGGAGCAGCTGAATCCCACATGGCCAGCAATGCAGTTCAAGTTCTGGACCTGGTGGCTTGAAAAACACACTAGGCACGGGGTCAGTAGATGGCATAGTGATTGCATCACTGGACTCCCACATGATTGATGATGGTTCTAGTCCCAGACCTGATGGCTTAAAAATCACACCAGGTACATGTGTATGCATGCCCAAGATCCCAGGAGGAAAATGGAGAAGGGATTGCAGCATGGCCATCTCCACTGGGAAGTGATTTTTCACTTTCCTTCTCCCTATCTCTGTGTGTGTCTCTCTCTAGTGAGAGCACATGTGTTCTATGGCAAAAACCTTTAAAGAAAAACACACCAGGTGCAAGTATGTGCATGCCAAAAATTCCAAGAGGAGAATGGAGGAGAAGAAGGGATAGTGGTGTGGTCATATCCCCTGGGGAGTGATTTCTTACTTTCATTCTGTCTTTTTCTCTTTGTCTCTCTCCCTCTCCTTGAGTGTATGTGCCCTCTAGCAAAAGGAAAAACAAAAACCTAATGTCAGGGCACCATCCATTTAGCTGGAGGTGCGGGGTGTGGGAGGGACAAACAGAGTAAGTGGGAATTCTATTCCCTCTCTCTTTGCAAGTGCCTGACTCTTCTCTGCTTCTGTCAGCCATTTTGCAACATAGCACTAGAAGCCAGCCAGTGCCAGCCCCACAACTTTGGACTTCCCAGTGATCAGAATCATGAGTCAGATCAGCCTCTATTCATTATAAATCACCCGGTCTCAGGTATTTCTCTTTAGCCACACAATAATGAACTAATCCATTCCCAAAAGCCAATTCGAACATGGGAGTAGGCCTAGCCTGTTGGTGTAGTTGGTGGTGAACTGAACTGCAGTACTGGAAGTCACATGGACAATCACAGCTTTAGATTCCTGGGTCACCTTGAAAACACACTGGGCACAAATGCATGTCCCCAAGATCCTGACAAGCTGGAACACTGGGGAAAGAGGACTGTGGTGTGATTAAGGCCTTGTTCAAGGTCTAACTTTCACATGCTGTTTCTCCTGAATAAAATAAGTAAAACTTAACAAACAAGCACAAGGGAAAAAAAAAACCTGAAAATGTGGGAGTCCAGCGACATAGCCATTACGCTAACTGCTGGTCCCTGTGCCTCCTTTTCAACCATAGTCTGCTCCTGTAGAACCAAAGTCAGCTCACGTGGTTATTTCTTAGTCATGCTTCTTCCCCCTGTGATGTTTAGTGCAGTACTCTGCCCACAGAAAACGCTCAGTGAGATTGGCGGATACACTCTGTTGCAGTGTCCTCATACTCTCACATGAGATTTACGCTTAGTGTGTTTGCTTTCGTCATGAACCAATCTCAGTCTCTCTTTTGATTGTGAGGCTCCTGTCAAACTGCCATCACAAGGGGTGGCCTTAGCAGGTGGATGGCACTGACCTGGGTGTGGCCTGAGTCCTCTGCCTTGTCATTAACTCACCTGGCCTCAGGCAAAACCAGAATCTTGGGACCCTAATCAGTAGCTTCTTGGGACCCTAATCAGTAGCTTCTTGCTATGATTTAGATAATGACTTGTCCCCCAACGATTTGTGCTCTGGAAGTTTGGTCCCCAGTACGGTGACTTCAGTAGGTGGTGAGACCTTTAAGACCTAATGATGGGTCAGGGTTGCATGGTGGTTGGAGCAGCTGAATCCCACATGGCCAGCAATGCAGTTCAAGTTCTGGACCTGGTGGCTTGAAAAACACACTAGGCACGGGGTCAGTAGATGGCATAGTGGTTGCATCACTGGACTCCCACATGATTGATGATGGTTCTAGTCCCAGACCTGATGGCTTAAAAATCACACCAGGTACATGTGTATGCATGCCCAAGATCCCAGGAGGAAAATGGAGAAGGGATTGCAGCATGGCCATCTCCACTGGGAAGTGATTTTTCACTTTCCTTCTCCCTATCTCTGTGTGTGTCTCTCTCTAGTGAGAGCACATGTGTTCTATGGCAAAAACCTTTAAAGAAAAACACACCAGGTGCAAGTATGTGCATGCCAAAAATTCCAAGAGGAGAATGGAGGAGAAGAAGGGATAGTGGTGTGGTCATATCCCCTGGGGAGTGATTTCTTACTTTCATTCTGTCTTTTTCTCTTTGTCTCTCTCCCTCTCCTTGAGTGTATGTGCTCTCTAGCAAAAGGAAAAACAAAAACCTAATGTCAGGGCACCATCCATTTAGCTGGAGGTGCGGGGTGTGGGAGGGACAAACAGAGGAAGTGGGAATTCTATTCCCTCTCTCTTTGCAAGTGCCTGACTCTTCTCTGCTTCTGTCAGCCATTTTGCAACATAGCACTAGAAGCCAGCCAGTGCCAGCCCCACAACTTTGGACTTCCCAGTGATCAGAATCATGAGTCAGATCAGCCTCTATTCATTATAAATCACCCGGTCTCAGGTATTTCTCTTTAGCCACACAATAATGAACTAATCCATTCCCAAAAGCCAATTCGAACATGGGAGTAGGCCTAGCCTGTTGGTGTAGTTGGTGGTGAACTGAACTGCGGTACTGGAAGTCACATGGACAATCACAGCTTTAGATTCCTGGGTCACCTTGAAAACACACTGGGCACAAATGCATGTCCCTAAGATCCTGACAAGCTGGAACACTGGGGAAAGAGGACTGTGGTGTGATTAAGGCCTTGTTCAAGGTCTAACTTTCACATGCTGTTTCTCCTGAATAAAATAAGTAAAACTTAACAAACAAGCACAAGGGAAAAAAAAAAAACGGAAAATATCCAGGGGCTTTTGTTAAAAATGCAGATTCCTGGGCCAGATTGTGGTAGAATGGTAAAATGTGATACCGCAAGGCTGACCCACATGGGAAGGTTCTTGGTTGGTGTCCTAGCGACCTCTCCGTGAGCCCCATGTGCTTATGTGCTGGCTGAGGCTTGGGGGAGACCATGGCATGAGCACCCCTTTGGAGTTGCCCACCTCTCTCTCTTACTCATGGAAGAAATAAATAAAGCAAAAATAATAATAATAATAATAAAAAGTATAAATTCCCATTCCCTACCCCAGTCCCACTGAATTAGTCTTAGAATAAATGAGTTATGATTTTAATAAGCTACCCACGGGACAGAATGTGTTCTACACCGTCTCCTCAGGTTATCAGGTTATCCACCGCAAGTTACTTGTTATAAAATGAAAACATGAAGGCATACAAGTGAAAAGAATAAAAACCCTCCTCCCAAGGCAGGTGTTCGTTTGTTTCCCATGTTGGCATCCATTTGTGTTAGGTTTGCTCATACAGATGTTATGATCCCGTGTAGCCGATTTCATCTCTTGATCTCTTGTTTTAATAATTTTCCTCATGTTACTGTGAATTCTTGGTCATGGTAATTTCTTTCTTTCTTTTAATTGCCAGAAGGTGCACTCATCAGCTTTCTTTCTTTCTTTCTTTCTTATTGCCAGAAGGTGCACTCATCAAAGAGAGACAAGCACCTTTCAATGGGACACGGTCATGCCATAATCCTTTTTCCTCCGTTTCTCCATTCCTTCAAGATGTGGGTACACACAGATACACACACACACTCACTCCTCGCATTTTTTTCATGCCACAAGGCCGGGATTCAAACTGCCATTGGCCATGTGGAATACAGCTCCTGGAGCACAAGAATGTATCTGCTACAGTGTGGGGCCAGCTCTGGTCATGGTGCTTTTTAATGGCTTCATAGTTAGGAGATTCTGGCTTGGCTGTGACCAGCCAATGATGGGTCTGTCCCTTGTCCTTGCAGGCATTCGTCCCTACAAATGTGACGTCTGTAACAAAGCCTTCACACAGCGCTGCTCCTTGGAGTCCCACCTGAAGAAGATCCACGGGGTGCAGCAGCAGTACGCCTACAAGCAGCGCCGAGATAAGCTCTACGTGTGCGAGGACTGTGGCTACACGGGCCCCACCCAGGAGGACCTGTACCTGCACGTGAACAATGCCCATCCGGGCAGCACGTTTCTCAAAAAGACATCCAAGAAACTGGCGGCCCTCCTGCAGAGCAAGCTGACATCTGTGCACCAGGAAAATAGCAAACTGAGTGAGGAGGAGGAGAAGAAGTGAGGAGGAAGGGCAGGGGTGGGGAGAGGCCAACACTGCCGACTTTACATGGAATTTTGGTTTTGGGGGTGTTGCCCCACCCCACTGGCTCTTTTTAGTTACAAGTGTCTCTGGCCTTTTGGGACATCGGCAGTAGGATCCAGTCCAAGGTTGTCAGTTACCATGGCGACATCAGGCTCTGTAACATGAGTCTCACTGCACACAGTCGCATTCACCAAAGTTGGTTTTTCCAGACTCCTGATGGCCAAGATCACCATGCGGGATTTTTTTTTTTTTTTTAAGGATTTTCACACATGGAGGGAAAGGTGTTCTTAGAGAGACTATTATTTTATGGTGCCTTGAAATAAAAGTCATTCCACTTGAAATGCTGTCTACACAAGGAAAATGAATTTTATTGTTTTAGAAGAGTTTATCGAAATTATTTTAATAAATGAAATGTTCTTGTGAAACTTCTCTTAAAAAACAAAACAAAACAGGAGAGTGCTGGGCTCTACTCCCTGTTTAGGGTTTATTGTATTATATTGACTTCAAGTTTTGGGGAGTGAGTGGTTATTTTGCAAGGTGGGTTTGAAAAAGCAAATTTTGAGTGTTCAGTAGAAGAACAAAGAGCCGATGGAAAACAAAACAAAACAAAAACAAAAACAAAAACAGCTATGAGCACCTGGCCCAAGCAGGCTGGTGGACAGAGACATCTAGGTTGGGTGTGGCAGGGAACTTATCAACTCCTTTCATAGCCCTGTGCTTTCTGTAGAGGCCATTGGCTTTCTGGGACTTAGGTGAAGGCTAGCTGGGGCTCTTTTGCCTTCCTTGAATCCAGGACTGTTAAGGTTTAGATAATGTTTTGTTCCCTGAAGGTTCATATTTTGAAACTTGGTCTTTGTGGGTGACTGGATCATGGAGACACTGACCTCATGAATGGATTATTGCTGTCTTGCATGAGAGAGTGAGTGAGTGAGTGCTGACCCTCGTGAGGAGGGGTTAGTTCTCACGAGAACAGGTTGTTACAAAACAGCTGCCCACAGCTCGCTCGCTCTGTCTGCATGTGGCCGCTGTCTCCTCTGCTTTTGTCATCTGTGTTGTGAAACAGGCCAGCCTGCTGCCAACCTTTAAATGTTCCAGTTACTAGAATCATGAGTCAGATAAACCTCTATTCTTATCAATCACTCCATCTCAGGTATTTCTGTTAGCAGTGCAGTAGCGAACTAGTGCAGGCACTGTGTGAGACACGGCAAAGGCCAGAGTATGAGAAACTCGCTTCTGCACAAAGTGCACTAGGAGGGAACGCAGCATCGGGAGTTTCCTCTGGGTGTGTGCCTGCTGAGCGCAGTAACCTTTGACCACCTCTATCTCCTCACCTTGGAGGCCTGCCTCTAGAGGCACAGGAAGTTAACAGTAAAGCCTGGCTCGTGACCAAGAGAGGGCAGGAGGGTGGTAGCTGGCCACAGGGGTGGTGAGGTGATTTATGTGGTCCCTCCTTGACTGATGAGGCAGCAGTCAGGGCCCAGGATCCCCCGTAGAAAGTGTTGGTTGACGGCGGCACCATGCTGTCCTTTGTCATTCTACCTGGTCCCTGGCACTGCCTGGGCCACTCCTTGGTCTAGGGAAACATCTTGTTCCCTCTATCCTCCCCCTTCCAGCCATCTTTCTTTCCTTCTGCCATCTCCTTACTTCGCTCCCACACTGTGGGCCAGGCATTATGCCAGGATCTGGACATTTTCAGTGGTATATTCTATAGCTCAAATGAACGTTTCTCTTCCAAGTCAATACTTTTCTTTCAGAAGGGAGGAAACGAGCCCCTTTGACGAGCACCTGCAATGTGCCAGAAACCAGCTGGGCACTCCTCGCCGCACAGATGTTCTCTAGAGTAATCCTCAGAGCACCCCTGAGGTCAGCTGCCCTGCTCCCGTGAGCAGGTGAGGGCATTGCAGAAGCTGTCAGGCAGCAGCTGGAGGGAAAGGCCAGGGATCCTGTCTAATAAAGATCCCTCTTTTCCTTTCTTTCTCCACTCTCCTTCCTTTCTTTCTCCTTTTAATTTGCCAGAGGGCGTGTGCACTCACCAGAGAGAGGGAGAAAGGGAAAGTGAGAAAGCATTCCCCATGGATGATTGTCACTCTATAATCTCTTCTCCATTTCTCCCTCCTTTGGGGATTCTGGGCACGCATGCACATGCACCTAGCATATTTCAAGTTGCTGGGTCTAGGACTTGAACTGTGCAGTCAGCCGTGTGGAATCCACTCACCTTAACTACCATGCTACTGGTTGCCCCTCCCTTTTTAGAAAGGAAAGAAAAGGCCACAGATTCCACTGGGACCACACAGAGGTAGATAGGAGACTAGGGCCAACTGGGGGGAGATGGGGATTTGAACCTCTCCTGCTTCTCTGGCTGGGAAGGCCCTAGTGCCCTCAGGCCAGCCTAGCCTACGGGCTAACCTGGGTCTTGTTCTACTTGCTCTGAAGCTCTGTGTGCACAGGCTCAGGGTGCAGCATCACACAGTCGACGTGGGCATGCTCACGCAGCAGAAGGAGCTGGGTTGCACTTGGGGCTCCAAGTGGAACAGGGTGCAGCTCCCACGACTGAGCTGGCATCAAGGGCCCAACCCTGACTCCAGAGGGTAAACTGCTGACATGGAGGTGTGTCATCTCAGAAGAGAGGCTGCAAGGCAGTTGATTAGCTTTCTCCTCGGGTGTCTGGATGATGTAGACAACAAAAATAAACATCTCTGGAAAGGGGTATGTGAGCGACTGTGCCTGGGCGGCTGGCCTGTGGCCTAGTCTGCACAGGGAATAGTGCACTAGCTCGTGCTCTCTTCAGGGTCAGATATTTCTTTTCTTTTTTGCTATAAAGCCTGTGCACTTGCCGGAGAGAGAGAGTGAGAGAGTGAGAAATCACCCCCTGGGGGAATGGCCATGCCACAACCCTTTCTCCTCTATTCTCCTCTTGGGATTTTGTGCACACATGCACAAGTGCCCAGCATGGTTTATTTATTTTTTAAAAAGTTATTTTTTTTTACTTTATTCATTCATTCATTTATTTATTTATTTTAATTTGAACAAAGAGGGACAGAGTAAGAGAGAGAAAGAAAGTGAGAAAGCAAGCCACCAGGTCCAGGACTCGAACCACGATTGGTCATGTGGGAGTCCAGCACCCTTAACCACCATGCCACCTGCTGGCTCCAACCCAGCATGTTTCTTAAGCTGCTGGGTCTGGGACTTGAACCACATACTTGACCATGTGGGACCCAGCTACCTTAACTACTACACCATCAGCTGGTCCTGGATCAGATTTATTATTTTTGTTATTTATTTATTTATTATTTACAAAAGTTTATTCTTAAATGTACAACAGGATATAAGACAGCACTTAATTCTAGCTGCAGGTGGCAAAAGATGCTATGGCAGGGAAACTGGGTTTTTAAATAGGAAAGGAATCGAGGTCGTTGTTGCCCCAGGCACAAAGGGCAGTCTACCTCTTGGCAGATTTAATTCCCCTTGTGGCCAGGAGGCCCATCCCTGCTGCCTCTGCTTTTAATTCCTCGAACTTCTGCTCTTTTTGTTTCTGCTTGAAAGCCTTATCTTCCTTGTCCATCTCCTTGGCCTGCTGCTTGGGCTCTCAGGGGCTTCTTCCTGCCACCTTTGCTGTTGGAAAGACCTGTCTCTCCCCCTCTCCTTTTTCTCTCTCTCTCATAAAGGGAGTTGGGGGAATAAAAGATAGCTTCTGTAACAAAGATTCCCAATGTTCTATGACTTAACAGAGAGAGAGGGTTGGAGGTCAGCAGGTGGCATAGTGGTTAGGGTGATGGACTCCCACATGGTTGGCCATGGTTCGAGTCCTAGACCTGGTGGCTTGAAATTCACATTGGCCATGTGTGCCCAAAGTCCCGAGAGGAGAACAGGATGGAGGAGAAAGAACTGTGATGTGGCTGTCCCCCAAGGGAGTGATTTCATGCTTTTTATCTTCTCTGTCTCTCTCACAAACACTTGCACCCTATAGTAAAAACACCCCCCCCCCAAAAAAAAGAACAGAGATAGAGCATGTTTCTCACATAGCAGTCCTGGATTGAGTGTTTCTCCCTCTCCCCCAGGGGCCCCAGTTTCCTTCCTGTCTTGTTCTGCCATGCCTCATGACAGTGTCACCACAGTTATGGTTGAAGCTGGTTCCTCTAGGTCCAGGCTGACTGTAGAGCTTCTTGATTTTTGTTCTCCCAGAAGCTGATTCTGAGGCAACGATTCACATGGAAGCAGCTTGCTTAGGAGGTGATTCTAGGAAGCATCTGTGTGGGAGGGAGTGTGAGAGGAAGGACAGACAGACAGCCAGTAAAGGCAATAGAATCAAAGAAGTCACTAGCAGCTTGCTTAGGAGGTGATTCTAGGAAGCATCTGTGTGGGAGGGAGTGTGAGAGGAAGGACAGACAGCCAGTAAAGGCAACAGAATCAAGGAAGTCACTGTCGTGGACAGCCAGAGATTTACTTCCCTGGGGGCATCCCTGGGAAGCAGTACAGACAGGCCCGGAGTTCTCCCACCACAGGAGCCTAATGGTCCACTCCCTGCCCATCAGCTTTGGTTGAGGGCTGCTGACACCGGAGCATTCTGGGCCCTTCCAATTTGTCCTGGACACCGGCCAAACACACTTCCTGTGCCAGGAGAGCCTCCCAGACTGAGTCACTTACAGAAGTCAGCATAGACAGCGTCAGCACATGGACCTGAGAGCTGACAGCTGGGGAGGTGACAGCCGGGGAGGTGACAGCCATTGGTACAGGTGTGGAAGGCCACACCCACTGCCCGAAGCTGCTGGCCTTTCCACTTACATTCTGTGGGGAGTACTTCGCCTTGTTAGAGGAGGAGTGGTGGGAAAAGGCAGCCTTTTTGGCTACTATACTTCCATGTAGTGACAGAATGGGGGAATGAGTTGTGGGGACAACCCAGCTCGTCTGCCATGGTGGGCCAAACCAGCTGACATCCACTGTTGTCTCCCAATCCTGTTTGTCTGTCTTGCTCTCAGTCAATCACCAGGAAATCCTGTGCCTCTGGCCTCCAACCTGTCCAGGAGGGTTCTGGGTTCATATCGAGACCTCTGTGCATACACGAGCATGTGTGTTCAGGGGGCCCGTCCCTGCTGCCTTCACTTTTAGCTCCTTGAGCTTCTCCTGCTCCTCTTCTTGTTTCTGCTTGAAAGCCTCATCTTCCTCGTGCACACCCATGATCTGGGGGTGGCTGAGGCTGGAGGGGACCCCAACCTGTGGGGTGGATCCCACGGGATCATGACCTGTTGGGGGTATCTGTTTCTCTGTCTCTTTCTCACAGAAGATAGAAAGATACTTTGAAAAATGAATAATGTGCCCAGGATCATGATTTCGGGCCCTTGTTCTCAGGCTGGCAGGCCTGGAACTTGGGTCTGTAGGTGGTAGGCTACTGATCTGGCCCAAGTCCTTTGGTGGCAGCCGCTCTGGGCTGGTGTCACGTCAGTACAGGTGGAGACACCCATGCTCGTGCTGGTCCGAAGTGCCTGCTGGCCGTTCACTTTGGAGAAAGGGATCCGTTGTCAATCATGGTGGTATATTTTGTCAATGTCTGAGGTTGGGTCCTAGAAGCAGAGCCTGAGACCAAGATTCTGGGGAAGTGATTTACTGAGGGAGGCCCTCAGAAGAAACCAAGAAGTTGAGACTCAAAGTACCACAGAGAAAAAACCCAGATGAAGAAGTGGGGTCAGCTGGGGACAATAGGTGGTGTGGTGGTAAAGGCACTGGATCGCATGTGGCCAGCTCTGTGGTTAGAGTCCTGGACCTGGTGGCTTGAAAACACACTGGGTGCGTATTGGTGCATTCCCAAAATTCCCATTCTCCAGAAGAGAATGGAGAAGGCCCTCTCCCTTGGAGGTGATTCTCACTTTCTCTCTCTCTCTCTCTCTCTCTCTCTCTCTGGGGAGTGCACATATCCTACAGCAAAAGAAAATTAAAAAAAAAAAAAAAGGGGGGTCAGCTGACATCAAGCCTCAGTCATCCTAGGAGGAGCTCTGCAGTGCAACCACACCAGTCACCCCACCTTCAGGGAGGTTGGGGTGGGAGGGCACAACCGTGAGCTGTTTAGTGGCCAGTGGCCTAAGTAGCTGGGGTTCTGCTGGCTAGCAGGTCTTCCAGGCAGGGGGAGAAGTCACGGTGGGACTCTCAGCAGTAAAAAAGATGGAGGTCCACAGATTCTGGCTGTTTCCCTGAAATATCTGCATTTTGATAAAGGTTCTGCTTTTTGAGCTAAAGGAATGAATCTCTCACAGCAAGTCATGTGGTGTTCTGGAAAGAAAAAAAAAAAAAAAAAACAGAAAAATGGATGCAGAGAAAAGTCCACCTAAACCTGCCCCTCAGGTGCCAGCCTTTCCACTTCCCTACCAGTTAACCACTGGGCTCAGCATCTCCTGTACCTTCCCCAGGTTTCTTTCCCCATGTGTAAGCAAATATGAATACGTGGCTTTTTATTATTATTTTAATGAGTAGACAGAATACCATACATACTGTTTGGCACCTTGCTTTTTTTTTTTTTTTTCCCAACTTAAATCATTGGAATGGCAGCCTCCTCGGGGTCTCCTGGGAAATCCGCATCGCCACCCTCGGCTGCAGCCCGACGCCTCTCCAGTTTGGCAGTCAGCTCTCGGGCTGGGTTGAAGACGCCGTTGGTCTGCTGGTCACAGATGTAGCAGCTCGCGGTGGTGCGGAAACGCCGCAGCGCGCAGCTCTCGCAGAAATAATGCCTGCATTTCGTGACCACTGGGTTTTGGAAGGTCTGGCGGCAGATGAAACAATTGAAAGGTATATCCTCATCCTCGCTGTCCACTTCATAGCTCTCTTCCGTCGGGATGCCATGGCGCCCCTCTTCCAGCTCACGTTCGATCTGCCACCCATGCTTGTAGTCTGAACGGTCGTGGAGGAATTTGCAGCCGTCCCCGAAGCCACAGAAGCCAGTCTCTTTGTAGTCCTTACAGACATCCGGCTGGTAATCCCAGCGCACGGTGGCGCGCAGGTGCCCAGGCGCCCGGATGGGGCCCTTCCTCACCATCCCAGAGGAGGCGTTGCCCATGGACGTATCCTTGGGCTTCAAGTATTTCTGGTAATTATTGATGCCGCGATAGACCTTGTCATCCTCCTTGCCCCTCCGCTCCTCCTGGATCTTCTGGCTGCGCTCAAAGATGGCTTGAGCGTCTCGCTCCTTCTCGGTGTCCAGCTCATAGAGGGCCGTGGCCCCCATGTCCTCGGGCCCCACGCGTCGAGCTGAGCGGGTGGACTTGTAGACCACGCCGAGGGCCCCCAGCTCCCGCTCCTCGTTGCTGCGCACGCCGCCTCCAGCCACCCTCTGCTCACCACAGCCCTTTGGGGT